TAATAACATGTGTACTAATCAAACGAATTAAACTTTCGGTTGACAGAGCGCCACTTGACAGTCTCCCGAAAGACAAAACTGTTTCCGTTCACTTAATGGTAAACAAATGAATTTTCTTTATTGGAACTTATACAAATAAAGTCTCCTGTTATCATGTTTCCATCTTGAGCGAACAGTTATGTTAATAATACATGTAATAATAGTACTTTTTAAGTAACTGTTTATTTTGAGGTCCTATTTGTATTTCGTGTTTTAGTCTTGTGGGAAAATGCTAAAAATTTCCAAAAACCTTTTATGTAAAATTTTAGTATTTATAAATAATAACACAAAAAGCTCTTACATTGTAACGTAGAGCTGCGATTAAAACATATTTTGAAATTGTTTTGTTCGAAATTGGACATACTTCCTTTTATTCAGTATTCTATCAAGATGAAGCTTTATGTGTTGTATGTGACCTCTACTATTACGAATAAATAATGATGTTGAGGTCATGTCAATGAGACAACAAAACATAACAACTAAATATTCAGCAATATAGAAGACAATAATCAAAACTATTTGTCAATGGCCAGGCATCTGTACAACATCAAGATTGAAATAGAACAAGAATATTTCTATGGAACACACATTCCCTCGCTTGTGAATATACTGCATATTCCATGTATTCGGCAATTTGTCCATTTATAAAGGGATATAACTTTAGAACGGTGAAAGTTATGCCACCAAATACGAACTTGATATGTGTTTGGTGGTATTAAATAATGTGTATACCTTTCATAACATTTGATTGAGGATAGATTTTTCATTTAAAAAGTGAGATAACTCTGGAACTATGAAAGTGACGCCACCAAAAGTTGAAACTGATCTGTCTTTGGAAATAATAAGCATTGTGTATACATTTCATATAATTTGGTTGAAGCAAACTAAAGTTGGTGGAGTTTGTGCGGCTCAGTCTTTAGTTTTTTATGTTGTGTTGGGTATATTGTTGTTTGTCTTTTGGGCTTTTTCTTTTTTTTCCATAGCGTTGTCAGTTTAATTAAAACATATGAGTTTGAATGTCCCTTTGGTATATTTTAAGATTCAAGATTCATAGTTTTATATACAGACAATAACTGTCATAAACACAAGCTATAGTGAGCTTTTCAAGGCGACTATCTTTTAGAGAACGGAATCTAATTTTGGACGTCCGGTCGTACAGACGGACAAGGGTAAAACTCAATGCCTCATTCACCTTAGTGGCGGGGGCAACCAAATGTTATAGACTATTTAACACTATTTCACAATGGTTTACTTCATAATTTTGCGTTTTTTGTCTCATTATCATGATTATAAAAAAGAAGATGTGGTATGAGTGTCAATGAGACAACTCTAACAATGTCACAATGTATAAAAAACAATTATAGGTCAAAGTACGGCCTTCAACACGGAGCCTTGGCTCACACCGAACAGCAAGCTATAAAGGACCTCAAAATTACTAGTGTGAAACAATTCAAACAAGAAAACCAACGGTCTATATAAATAATAAGATGTGGTATGAGTGCCATTAAGACAACTCTCCATCCAAGTCACAATGTATAAAAAGTAAACAATTATAGGTCAAAGTATGGCCTTCAACACGGAGCCTCGTCTAACACTGAGTAGCAAACTATAAAGGACATCACCATGACTAGTGTGAAATAATTCAAACAGGAAAACTAACGGTCTAATATTCTATATATAAAACTATATAAAAAAAGGGAAACGAGAAACACCTATGAACCACACCAACAAACGAAAACCACTGAACAACAGGCTCCTGACTTGATAGTACTAGCAAAAACTGATAAGAACGTTAATGGATAAAAAGTTTTACTTTATCTAACTTAACCATCTTTATTTACAACACAATTATATAGTTTTTTTTCTGTAGAACTGATCAGTAAACAGGATCTACACATTTATATTGACATCCTTGTTTGCAACATTTCTTATTCCCAAGACAAGATGAATCGTTTCTACAGCTTCGTCGGACATAACACCTTGACCATGGGTATCGGTCTATTGGACATTTGTCTGGTGTTGGCTTATTTTCTAAAAAGAAAAATCTATTAATTAATAATGCACGCGTTGTCGTTCTTAGCATACCCCTACTCGTGATTACAAGTGTCGGAAACAAGAAGAATGTGTCTTACATTGCCCGGGACCTCGGTGGCCAAGTGGTCTTAGTTGTAAAACTACTGTATCACTAGCCTGTCAACACTGAGGCTATGCTTTCGAGATAGTTCATAATTGACTAGGATTGATGAATTTCATGCGTCCGAAGCGCTTTTCTGGATTTACCTTTATCAGGAACGATAAAAGCCGAATATTTATATTAGACAACCTGATGATTAAAAATGTGAAAAGTTTATGATGGATCATGCTCGCCATGTAATGAAATCAGCTCTCGTAAAAATAAGTTAAAATTATGATTACCATCAGGACAACAAGCAAAGTACTCATCAGCTGGGCCTCCTAGGCAGCTATATCCAGCTGGACACTTGTTAGAATCGATTACCATTCCACAGGAAAGTGTTGGATGAGGATCACCAAATTTACAAGCTATAGATAGAAATTAATATACAAAACGTAAACATATCATTGATGAGTCTTCGGTAGACCGCGTGTCTGTCGTACCAAATCATAAGCACCTTTAGGACTTTTTTTTGTAACGTTTCCTTTAGTTTATTTTTAGATATCTTGTTTAAAAACAATTAAGGTGAGAGTTCTGGATGAAAACTTGAAAAAAGCTCTTCGGATGGAGCGTACTCGGTATCTTAAATCTAATTGAATTATGCATTTATGTATTCATCTATGAAAAGCTTGATTAAGATTAAGTTACTTACGGATTTTGCAGCAGACTGAATTTTTACAGTAGGTTCCTGATGGACACGGTGTACTGGGAACTGGTCCTATTCTACATGTCCCTTGTGGTGTTCCTTTTTCACAAGCTATATGAACATAAATATGCAATTTATAGAGGGTTTGATTTGGTGTATAGTTTACAATAAAATATAATACAATAGAAATCATGTGTTTGTTTTTTGAAAACTTATTTTCGTTTTTATGCTTCCGGTCTCCATTAGAGGAAATTATAGTCTTTCTTAATACAGCAATTTAAACACAAATATTAAACATATTTGAAGGTATAAATTGGGGAAGGAAGGGGGGGGGGTCCTTTAATTCTATATTCTTTATTTTGTTAAGCCGTTTTTACCTATTTTTTATAAATTTTGCGTATTGTTCTCCATTTTTTATATTTTAGCACCCCATTATTCTGTATTCTTAATTTAACTGAGTAGTGCAACATCCTTTCTGTCCATTGCTTAACATACACAACTAGGTCTATTTGAGTTGCGACGTATTATTCAATACAATTAATTTGAAATTGGGCGGTTGTACGAAGGTTCATTGACATGAATTAATTCGAGAAAAAATATATGTAAATCCGAGTAAAAAGTCAGTGTGCTCAAGCAGCATAACAGACGTACACCAACGCTATATAAGTTCAATAATTTTGAGTGAAACTACAAAGAAAGGGACCAATTTATCGTACAGTATGCGTTGGTACCCTTTTACTTAAATGGCTCATTTTTTTTCTAGTAATTTGAAGTCCCACAAAAAGTCAACTGTTCCGGAATTGTTTTGTCGGTTCAGAATGTTTAGAAGAATATCATGAATATGTGAAGCATAATCAATAGACAATGCTAACATAAAACTATATCTAAATGTCATGCCGATAGCTTAGTGTGTGATACAACTATTCCGTTTGGAAGTCCACGTGAAAAGGGTCTATAGCTGGAGATACGGATTAAAGGTCAATTAGCCGTTTCAGAATCTAATGAATTCTGGGTAATACTTTTAAAAGCGTACACCAAAACGTTGTGATTGGCTTACTGAATTGAAATTTAACCAATGACGTGAAGTTGTTTTCAGTTTTGTGGTACGAACATTGACACTACCAATTTCTCTTTAGAATCTGAAAAGGCGAATAAGGCAGCAACTCATCACCATGGAATTTGATGTTTCTTGTTGGGATTTTATAATATTGTTGATGGTAAACTACTTGTCAATTGTTTTATCTCCCCAACACCCCTTTCCAGACAACAAACATAAAGCTCCCATTTTTCGGAATTAACTCACCAGGTAAGCATTGACATGTCTGGCAGCCGTTGACGTCATACTTATAACCATATGGACATGGTCTGCTGCATTTTATTTGAGGACATACTGAAACACAAAAAAAAATAAAGTGTACATATTATAGATAAATATGCATTAGATATGAACGAATATTCAAAATATTATGTTCTAAATATCAAACAGTTTAAGTGTTTGCTGGAATAAACATAATGAGGTACGCTTTGAAAAATTTCTTACAGCCAAAAGTACCAAATATTGGAAAGCATGAAACCAAACAGTACATGAACAAAACGTCAAAATCGACTAAGATAAGATTCATCTTTAGGCGCTGCAATATAGCGTTCTTTTTATGGACTAGAAATTTACAGACAAAATGTATCATAATAACATTAACGGAATCAATTTTACTGCACCAGATGATCATTTCGACAATAAATGTCTCTTCAATGATGCTTAAAGTCAAAATATTTGAAAATCCAAAACTTACAAACAAAATGAAAAGCTGATAAAACCAAAAAGGACAAAAGTAAATATCTTTTTATATCTGTAACTTCATTTATATATATAAAAGCAACAGTAGTTTACCGCTGTTCAATATATACATAATTTGGTGAATTTTTAAGACAAGGTAGATATAAGAAAAAGAAGATGTGGTATGATTGCCAATGAGACAACTCTCCACCAAAGACCAAATGACATAGAAATTTACAACTATAAGTCGCCGTACGGCCTTCAACAATGAGCAAAGCCCATACCGCATAGTCATCTTTAAAAGGCCCCGAAATGACAAATGTAAAATAATTCAAACGAGAACACTAACGGCATAACTAAGAGCTTACCATAAGGACAGCATACTCCATCACCATCTGTTGAAGGTGTGTTGCATTGATATCGAGCGGGACATCTTTGTCCGCTTTTACCACAGTTAATTGATGGCAATGGTTTAACATTACCTGAACATCCTAAAAAAGAAAATAAATGTGAAGGATATGAGTCTCCAAAAAAAATAAGAACTGAAATTAAGAATAACTTTTTTCTTAAAGAGATATTATATTGGATGATTCCATATGAATTTGGTTTGTTGAATGTACATCATGCGCATCTGTCGTCCATTTCGTAAAAAATAATTTTACCACTCATGGTATTATGATGTAACGGGTCTAGTTTAACTGTTTTTTGTTCATGTCGGAACTATTCGTCCGGGATCATGCAAACCATGATTTAGTTAGTTTCGTGTTATATTATCCGTTATCATAGGGAACCAGCTATATTTCTCCATACTATTTCAATAGTCCACAAATTTTCAGATTTAACATTGTTGTGCTGTTATATATATAATTATATATTTCTTGGATGTTTACTTTCAGCTTGCTTTCGGTAAAGACTGTGATATTCAGAATTGTGATTTATGTTTTAAAAAAAAACTTCTAAACAGATTTAAATGAATAGTTATTCCTGGAATCAATGAAAATAATTACTTTACTGTCGTCACGTGTTAAATATTTCGTTATTAGTTGTTTTTATTTGTTTATAATTGTTGCAATGTAGACAACTGTATGTCAAATCTTCAAACAATTTCGGTTTAACTATGAAAATATTCTTTTAGAGTCAGGAATAATGAGAATCTTGAAGAGGAATTTGACAAACGTTAAAGGTCCCATTTTTGTCTGTTGTTTCGTTGATGAATGTCCTACTTTCTTTATTCACATACTTATTTTTAGTGAGTATACACATATTCTTCATTACCATTTCATATCTGAAAGCTACCCAGGTTTTCAATATGACTGAATACACACCTTGGGTCGGTAATTCTGCTGGTGGACTATCAGTCCCCGATGGTATCATCAGCTCAGTAGTCAGTACTTCGGCACTGACATGATTTATAACAAACTTTTCTAAAATTGTCCGTTTATAAATTTTGAAATTATAAAGAAACTAAGGTTTCAACTCCCTCAGGCAAAGTTGACCTTAGATGAATTTTGCTATTTGTTTTAGGTATTTTTGTCATATAGCGCTTCAACTGTTTCGGTACTTATACATCCCTCGGATTTCAAATGTTTGGCATTGAGCGTTCTTGATGAAGGTACATCCAGAAAAGCGCTTCGGACGCATGAAATTATTAAACGTGTTGTTTTCAATTTTTTATGAGCATTTGTATTTGTCACTACCTATTTATTATAACCATATATATATATCTGGTTCATGAAATGAGTTTTTCTTATTAGATATATGTTAAACACATACATAAGGATACTTTCATTTTGTAATTTATGTTTCATTTAAAAACTACAAAAGACCATTATTACCTGTTTTGCATGTACAAGTTGCACAGTTGTTTTCATCATATACATTTCCAAAGGGACAAAATACTAAACAAACAGGTGGGCATCTTGGTTCTGTAAAAAGCTCAAATGTATTCATTCAAATGACATATTTGTTCTATGACTTATTGTATATATTTATAGATAATAAGAGGATGATGATGATGGATGGCTGTTTAACATCCAGCGGCAAATTAAATGCAATGGGTACTAATTGTGCACCCCTACTGACCGATCTGTTTTTGTACTCGTATGAAGCAGAATTTATTCAGAACCTTCTAAAAGACAAAAAGAAAAAGCACCTTGCGAAATTCTTTAATTTTACTTTCAGATATATTGATGATGTCCAATCATTGATTAACCCATATTGCAGCCAATAATTACATCTCATGTATCCCAGTGAACTTGAAATTAAGGATACTACTGATACTAGAAGGACTGCTTCATACCTTGATCTTTTCCTCAATATGCATTTTTAGGACAAGAACATATTGATGTAATATTAATATGAATCCCGCTTTGTACTTAACCGACACTCTCAGCCGATTTTTTAACATGCTATTTCACAAGATAACAGTCCGCAAGAAGAGATGTAACTCTATCCCAACACATTATTCAGACCCCGAGCCGACCAGTCTTTGCTCGCACTCCTTAATATAGCGTGCTTATAGCTCGCCATGTAATGAAATCAGCTCTCATAAAAATAAGTTAAAATTATGATTACCATCAGGACAACAAGCAAAGTACTCATCAGCTGGGCCTCCTAGGCAGCTATATCCAGCTGGACACTTGTTTGAATCGATTACCATTCCACAGGAAAGTGTTGGATGAGGATCACCAAATTTACAGGCTATAGATAGAAATTAATACACAAAACGTAAACATATCATTGATGAGTCTTCGGTAGACCTCTTGTCTGGCGTACCAAATCATAATCACCTTTCGGACTTTTTTTTTTGCAACGTTTCCTTTAGTTTATTTTTAGATATCTTGTTTAAAAACAATTAAGGTGAGAGTTCTGGATGAAAACTTGAAAAAAGCTCTTCGGATAGAGCGTACTCGGTATCTAAAATCTTATTGTATAATGCATTTATGTATTCATCTATGAACAGCTTGATTAAGATTAAGTTACTTACGGATTTTGCAGCAGACTGAATTTTTACAGTAGGTTCCTGATGGACACGGTGTACTGGGAAATGGTCCTATTCTACATGTCCCTTGGGGTGTTCCCTTTTCACAAGCTATATGAACATAAATATGCAATTTATAGAGGGTTTGATTTAGTCTATAGTTGATAATAATATATAATACAATAGAAATCAGGTTTGTTTGTTTTAAAAACAAATTTCCGTTTTGTATGCTTCCGGTCTCCACTAGACGAAATTAAAGTCTGTCTTAATATCTTAATACACTAATATAAACACAAAAAACACAAATGTTAAACATATTTGAAGGTCTAGATGGGAGAAGGGGTGTCCTTCAATTCTATTTTCTTTAAGTTTTTATCTATTCTTTGTAAATTTTGCGCATTGTTCTCCATTTGTTATATTTTATCACCCCATTCTAATGTATTCTTAATTTAACTGAGTAGTGCGACATCCTTTTTGTCCATTGCTTAAAATATACAACCAGGTCTATTTGAATTGCGGCGTATTATTCAATACAATTAATTTGAAATTTGGCGGTTGTACGAAGGTTCATTGATATGAATTAATTTGAGAAAAAATATATGTGAATCAGAGTAAATGTGTCAGAGTGCTCAAGCAGAATAACAGACGTACACCCACTCTATTTGTGATTTTGCCCCTATTAGCAACATTGATATAAGGTCAATAATTTTGAGTGAAACTACAAAGAAAGGGACCATTTTATCGTACAGTATGTATATACAATCAGTGTTGGTACCCTTTTACTTAAATGGCTCATGTTTTTTTTTCTAGTAATTTGAAGTCCCACAAAAAGTCAACTGTTCCAGAAATTGTTGTTTCGGTTCAGAATGTTTAGAAGAATATGTGATGCATAATTAATAGACAATACTACATAAATTTATATCTAATTGTCATGCCAATAGCTTATTGTGTGATACAAGTATTCCGTTCTGAAGTCCACGTGAAAAGAGTCTATAGCTGGAGATACGGATCAAAGGTCAATTAACCGTTTCAGAATCTAATGAATTCTGGGTAATATTTTTAAAAGCATACACCAAAACGTTGTTATTTGCTTACTGAATTGAAATTTAACCAATGACGTGAAGTTGTTTTCAGTTTTGTGGTACGAAAATTGACACTACCTATTTCTCTTTAGAATCTGAAAAGGCGAATAAGGCAGCAACTCATCACCATTGAATTTGATGTTTCTTGGTGGGATTTTATTGATGGTAAACATTGTCAATTGTGTTATCACCCCCAACACCCCTTTCCAGATAATAAACATAAAGCTCCCATTTGTCGGAATTAACTCACCAGGTAGGCATTGACATGTCTGGCAGCCATTGACGTCATTCTTATAACCATATGGACATGGTCTGCTGCATTTTATTTGAGGACATACTGAAATACAAAAAAAGTAAATAAAGTGTACATATTATAGATAAATATGCATTAGATATGAACGAATATTCAAAATATTATGTTCTAAATATCTAACAGTTTAAGTGTTTGCTGGAATAAACATAATCAGGTACGCTTTAAAAAATTTGATTTGGAAAGCATGAAACCAAACAGTACATGAACAAAACGTCAAAATCGACTAAGATGAGATTCATCTTTAGGCGCTGCAATATAGCGTTCTTTTTATGGACTAGAAATTTACAGACAAAATGTATCATAATAACATTAACGGAATCAATTTTACTGCACCAGATGATCATCTCGACAATAAATGTCTCTTCAATGATGCTTAAAGTCAAAATATTTGAAAATCCAAAACTTACAAACAAAATGAAAAGCTGATAAAACCAAAAAGGACAAAAGTAAATATCTTTTTATATCTGTAACTTCATTTATATATATAAAAGCAACAGTAGTATACCGCTGTTCAATATATATATATATATAATTTGGTTAATTTTTAAGACAAGGTAGATATAAGAAAAAAAAATGTGGTATGATTGCCAATGAGACAACTCTCCACCAAAGACCAAATGACATAGAATTTTAAAACTATAGGTCACAGTACGGCCTTCAACAATTAGCAAAGCCTATACCGCATAGTCAGCTATAAAAGGCCCCGAAATGACAAAATGAATGTAAAATAATTCAAACGAGAACACTAACGGCATAACTAAGAGCTTACCATAAGGACAGCATACTCCATCACCATCTGTTGGAGGTGTGTTGCATTGATATCGAGCGGGACATCTTTGTCCGCTTTTACCACAGTTGATTGATGGCAATGGTTTAACATTACCTGAACATCCTAAAAAAGAAAAAAAATGTGAAGGATATGAGTCTCCAAAATAAAAAAGATCTGAAATTAAGAATAACTTTTTTCTTAAAGAGATATTATATTGGATGATTCTATATGCATTTGGTTTGTTGAATGTACATCATGCGCATCTGTCGTCCTTTTCGTAAAAAAATATTTTATCACTCATTATATAATGATGTAACGGGTCTAGTTTTAACTGTTTATTGTTCATGTCGGAACTATTCGTCCGGGAATGTGCAAACCACGATTTAGTTAGTTTCGTGTTATATTATCAGTTATCATAGGGAACCAGCTATATTTCTCTATACTATTCCACTAGTCCGCAAATTTGCATATTTAACATTGTTGTGCTGTTATATATATAATTATATATTTCTTGGATGTTTACTTTTAGATTGCTTTCGGTAAAGACTGTCAATTCAGAATTGTGATTTGTGTTTTAAAAAAAACTTCTAAACAGATTTTAATAAAAGAGGGACGAAAGATTCCAGAGGGACAGTCAAACTCATAGATCGAAAACAAACTGACAACGCCATGGCCATAAATAAAAAGACAAACAGACAAATAATAGTACAGAAGACACAACATAGAAAACTAATGACTAAGCAACACGAACCCCACCAAAAACTGGGGGTGATCTCAGGTACTCCGGAAGGGTGAGCAGATCCTGCTCCACATGTGGCACCCGTCGTGTTGCTTATGTTATTACAAATTCGGTAAATAGTCTATTTCGGGAAGTCACATTCGTGAAACGGGCAGGGTATTGTAGTTACGACATAAGGAACATATCCGATATCATCTGTGAAATGGTTATTCCATAACGGTCAACCAACTCGTGATGGCGTCCGTAAAATTTAAGGGATGATTTCAACTTCACCATTTGGAACTCTTGGCTTAATAGCTTCCTTGTGAGCAGCAATCCTCTACCAAGGAAATCATGATAGGAAACACAAGACCGGGAATATCGTATCAATTGGGAGATATATACTCCGTATGCAGGCGCTGCTGGAATGTTGCTACATAGAAATGGAAAGTTCACAATTGGGAAGCTAAAATCATCTCTTTTGTCGTAAATTTTTATTTTCAACCGACCCTCATTGTCAATTTCTAGATGTAAGTCAAGATATGAGGCAGACTTAACTGTATCTGTAGTATCCTTTATCTCTAGTTCGATGGGATAGATTCGTTCAACATATTCACCAAATTTTGTATTATTTAGTGAGAGAACATCTATAAAGCGGAACGTAGAGTTATAGAATATTGCTAACTTCTTATCTTTCTTTCTAAGAAGTTCCTGTATGAAGTCAGCCTCATATTAATAAAGAAACAAGTCGGCAAGAAGAGGGGCACAATTGGTTCCTCTTGGAATTCCGATAGTCTGTTGAAAAACACGTCCTCCAAACGTAACAAATATGTTGTCAATCAAGAAATCAAACATCTTGATAATGTCAGTTTCATAGAATTTTTTGTTTGAATCAGAGTGGTTCTTTACAAAGTAGGATTTATCCCTTCCCAAGACAAGATACTTGTATCTATGTTCGCCATTCTTTTTAATGAAACAAAGCAATACCAACTCTTTCAATTTGTCTTTTAGTTTGGAATGGGGAATACTTGTGTAAAGTGTAGAAAAGTCAAATGTTTTAATA